AGAGAGAGAGAGAGAGAGAGAGAGAGAGAGAGAGAGAGAGAGAGAGACGTGCGAATGGATGAATGTATTTTAGAGTTTTATTGACATGGTCCCTTTAGAAAGATGGCCTTAGTTTTTACTAGTGTAGTGAAGTTAAGTTTGGTTAGAAAGCTATTCTATTTAGATACAAGTTGTTAAAGAGACTTCATTTTAATTCTCATGAAATTGCTGAAAATATTTAATACTTCTCTGCCATAAGTTTCTTCTTACTTCAGAATGTATTTTTAAAATTTTTGATTTGTACCATTTCACAAATCCATTTATATTGATCAACTTCATCATCTTATGTGTTTGAAAAATAATATTCTGCTAAATCTCTGGAATTCTTTTTTCTTTCTTTCTTTTTTTTTTTTTTAAGAAAATGATGCCTAGAAAGACCTTAATTTGTAGTGGCTAAAACAGAAACTGTTCTGTAAACGACCTTCTAGTCTTACTGGTTGAAAGGCAGATAAAACCAACTGAAAGCTCGCAAATGTAAACATTTCCAAACTGGGACATATTAATCAACTTCTCCCCTCAAAAGCGCAGTTCACCTGGGGTATGAAATAAACACTTTTTGGTTATAAAAGAAATTAATCCATGATTAAGTGTAGAAAGTTCCAGTTTTTGCAGACTGGTTTAAAAGAAAATACAGTAGCAATTCTAACCCTAGTTTATTACTTGGCCATTGCTCTGACTGATGCCACATTCATGTGTGAGGGCTACTATTAGTCAATAGATGGCAGTCCATCGCCTAGTAAAAGAGCTGAAGAGGACTAAAATCAGCACGTATCTTGCTTTTATCCAAAACTGAATATGCTTAATTGCAAAGATTCAAATATTACCCCTACACTTATAAAAATTTAAATAACTATAGTTAAATAATTTAACTTTTATTTTACATGTGAACTGATAAATAATGCACAGGTCTATAAGCACAAAAGTGATACATTTATACTTGCACAGTAAACTTATTATTAACTAAAACTTGATAATAATAAACTGTGATGGTTACTTTTAATATTATTTTGAAAAATTAAACAGGATTCCACATTGGGACAAATTAAGTTCTCAAACTGAATTTATTATACCCACAGATAGAATATATTATATTCCACAAAAGGCAAATTCATTTTGTTTTTATTTATTTTATCCCCAAAATTCTTTTTGCAATGTTTCTAAAAAGCTAAAATATTAAACAGACCTTCAAATATTTCTGTTATACCTGAAACCAATTTTTACAGGCTCACTGATAGTTATGTAAAAGAGTGGCTTTAAGATTGAGTACTTTCCACACTTCAAATTTTCAAAATTGGAATTCTCTAAATTAGGGGAAAAGCTAAAAAAGAAATGTAATGTCTAATTTATTAGGACATTACTTAATACAAATAATGATGAAAATATTGCTATGTGGTTACAAAGAGCAGCTCTGTGATCTTGAAAAGTACTAGAGATCAAATTCTAACCAAGTTTAGGCTGTAAGAACTTCACCATGCTATGTGAGAATAAATAAACTGCTACATGAACACAAACAATGTAATCAGATGAGTTACATTTGTAATGTGTGCCTGCATATATGGGTATATATCTTTTAGCATTAACACTGAAGATTTTAACAATAATCTATTTAGTATTTTGGGGAGAGCAGAGGAATTACAGTTTTCTACTTAAGCTCTTCAAATAAATTAAATGGAGATAACAAAATCTGAAAAAAACAAACCACTTGATATTATTCCTAGCTTCTTGGGCTCATGACAAAATGGTAGTATGAGTATACCTGTTGGTTTATTATTTATTTCTTATAAGTGGTACAAAAACTTTGCCTTCTCTCTTTTTATGACTTGCTTTCTATAAACAAAACCTTTTTAATACACTAAACTTTTAACAACTATTAATTAGTATGTATTACATAACTTTACAACTAAAAGAAACTTGTCCCTTGCTTAGCACAACACATTTAATATATTAAAAATGACCAGTAGGGCTTTGGTAAATCAGTGCAATTATTTAAGCTGAATAGTAAAAGAAAACTAACTTTATAATATTGAACCAATTGGATTAGCCAATTGGATTCTATGGTGACTATGTTTTCTGCTTCTAAACCAGAAAATTGAATAACCTGAATGGTATTATGCAGATATTCATACTTTTCAAATATGTCAAGAAGGGCTTAAAACATAAGACAGTTAAATTGTGCTATATGAAAGGTACCCTGGGCTTTTTCTAGCTTCATTTGATAAATGTGTACATATTTCAGTAAAGGCAGAAAAATGATAATGGAAGATACTGTGCACTGTATGCTTATGGACTGTGGATGATGTAATATTTTAAAGACACTGATTATTACCATTTTTTTATGGCTTCCAGCATACTTTCCCCCTTTAATATAATGAATAGAGTCAAAGAAGACTTAGAAATACCATGATGTAATCATCAAATGTGAGTAATAACAAATAATCAAAATCTTTTAAGAACAGGAAGA